ATCAGTGATAAACATATGAATGTGAGGGAAGTGTGAATATCTATCTTTATTATGGAGTGTATATATATATAGTAATACAAGTATATACAAGTATATACTAATACACTTATACAGAGCAGAAATTGTCCATATGATGATGTGAACCAATATCCTCATTAGATGTTACTTCGTTGTAGCGAAGTGGAATGAAATAAGATGAAGGGGGCGTTTGGTAATGAATTTTGGAAAGAAGGTGGATAGGTAACAAATAAAAGGGTGCAAAGAAATTATTTAACTCTTTAGTTTTCATTTATTTGGTTTAACCTTAGATAAAAGAATCACCACTTAAACCTAACTCCATTTATTTTTTGTTTGAGGAGATTAAGAGTAATTGTTACCTTAGGTTCGTTTTAAAGAGGTAACAAATGGGTGCTTTAATTGAGGAGAGTGATGGTAATTGTAACCCAAACTTTCTAACCAAACACTTGACAACGATAATGGTTCAATTGAATCCGTTTTCGACCCAAAAATACTCCAACCAAACATACTTGAAAAGTGAATAGCTTTTAATCTAACAGAGTAGTGAAGTATAGTCCAGAACAAACTTCAGTGCCATGCAATGTAATGCCAACATTATTTTAATCAATATATACTACTAATTAAGTACCAAAAAAATATGCCAAAATATGCATAACAAAACGCGGAAAATACTATATGCTCAAAAAATAATAATAATGAATGTATAACAATATGTAAAAGAAACAAGGTAATACGTACCCCAAATAACAAAAAGCGTTGTTGCACCGTGAGCAAAAGATAGACGACCAAAGGGATCAGAAAGCTCACTAACTGAATATTGAAAGTAAACAGAAGAGCTTTGAATTAGCTGAAATCCTTTCTATCACAACGTTTATAAGGACGCTAATAAAATTCCCTGTAATAATAAAATCCCATTAATTAAAAAGTAAGGAGTACTCCGTAATATTGATCGAAGCTAAGTATTACGGAGTACCCCACAATAATTTAATACGGAGTATAAAATTATTTACTACTTTCAACCTCTGTTGACTAGATTATTTTAGACCGCTACGTAGCTGTAGGTGGGATCAAATTCATCAAAGTTCTTTTCTTGTTTTATCTTAAAGCAAATGCCTTTAATTATTTACCTTGTGTTACGTACATTATAAACAAATACTTCCCCTATTGTTTTTTAAATGCATCAATTGTTAGTTTTGCACTATTTTTTTTTTCTTTTGACAACGGGAGGGAAAAAATTACATTACATAAAATGATTGAAGAAGTTTGCTAGCCTGTGCTTGCAACATATAGCAGAAAAAAAATATAGGGTTCCTTCACTACCATAAAAAGCGAGATAGAAAAATATAATGTTGAAGGGAATTTTAGGTTTCTCCGTAATGGTTTTGGAGAAAGAAGTTTATGTTCGGAAACACTTGGTATGAATTGCGGGGTGTTGAAAGGGCTTGTTTCTCCATAAAGGGTTTGGAGAAGTGAGTTTATATTTGACAACACTTGCAGATAAACTGCGAGGTGCTGAAATGAGATTGTTTCTCCATAAAAGAGTTTGGAGGAAAAAAAAATGGTAATTATCATCTCTTGGTATATGAAAAGTCTGAGGTTTGAAGCTTTCCAAGAAGGAAGTTTGATATGGTCACCATCATTTGTCGATGTCGCGGAAGCGGGGTAAAAAATGGATCAATAGCTCCTGATACCATGATAGAGTTATGAGAAAGAGAATAATGTTGGAAAGGTTAATTATATTGATGAGTATAATAGAATATATATAGTACAAGATTAGAGTATCAAACACCACAAAATTATGACTAGGTACAATATATGACTAGGTACGTTATCTAATAATATGGGATATACTTTGACAATCAAAAAGAGTAAATCAAGGGATTACAAACAATAACTACATTTGATCATTATTATCCTTTACACCCATTTCTTGCCATTTTAGCAAGGTCATGGGCCTTAGAGAAGGATATAACTTGTTAGCTTTTATGCAGATTATAAGTCCTTTCTGACTAATCATGGCGGTCTTGATATCTTGTTAGCTTAGACGGATAACTTGTTAGTTTTGCACTATATATATGTCATTATGTAGTTTGTTTTTCTCTGGATTGAATACATGTTTGGTTTTCTTTCCCCTCTCTTATTTCTATATATGATTTCAACATGGTATCAACACTTAGATTACATCGAGAGAACTGTGAGAGATAGAATAGGAAGTAATCTAATGCAGACCATCTTTTGTTTTATATGCGAAAAAAAAAAAATGAAGGGAAAACCACCATGGCAACAGTGGTTGGATAAATAAAAGTATGTGATGATTATGAGCATCATGGTGAAGAGAAGTGGTTCACATGTTCCAAAACAAATCTGTCGTAGATCAATTATGTGCAACAAGTGTAGTTGTGTGGAGAGAACTATTCCGAAAATATGGCATTGGTGATAATGTGCATCAATAAAATTGTATATATTATGAGATGCTCTTACAAAATTTTGTTTAATTTGATAAGAAATATTTCATATTATTGGAAGAAAGAAGATGTATAGTTGTTATAAGAATCGTATTTCCATTGAAGTCAAACGTGAAGATCAGACATTCATTTTAACCTAATTTGAAGCAAAGGGGTGTGTTAGTTAGAATATTTACTACTTCAAATTAATAGTGATTAGTTGACTCCTAAAGAATAGGAATATACTTTCCTATTAGTTTGTGTTAGTGGAGTCATATAGTAGTGAATCTATGTTAGACATAATTTAATGATCATGGGTTCATCATGTTACTCATTTATAGCTTAGTTTTGCATATATATGTTGCTTTTCTTTCCCCTTTCAAATCTATGTTGGTTTTCTTTCCCCTTTCTCATTTCTATATATAGTTTCAACAAGTATTTGCTAAATTACTTACATAATTTCTTAGTCCATATATATATATATATATATATATATATATGTATATATATATATATATATTACCCGTCTCTAAGGTCATATTTTTGCTTATTTGAGATTTGCGGAGCTATTTTTTTATTACTAATATGCGTTTTCTAGTGTTTTGTAGAATTGGTACTCTCTTCCTAGTTTAATTAATCGACACTGTAGAAGATGTGCAAGTAATACAAAAAGCAGGGATTCTCAAAAATCATCTTGGCAGCGACGAAGATGCAATCAAATAATAATGCTAGAAACACAGTAGGACACCAATTTTATTACTCGAAAGTTAGTAAAGAAGCGAATGCATACGCTTCTAGCTCTTGGAATAAATGGATCGCGTTATTTTGGAGGAGATACTTCAGTCATCCATGGGCAATTATATCCGTGTTCGCTGCAATTATACTCTTTATTCTTACTCTATTACAAACTATTGCTGCTTTCAACGAGTATTATCTCACTCTATATTTAAGTTTAACCAATGCACCTCAATCTGGCATGTAGTTTGGTTATAAATCTATTCTGTAATTTCTATGTTTTTTTTTTGTTTTTTATTTTTTTTTTTGCTGTAGAATGTATTTTAATGCCAATCACTTCAATTTTTATTTAATTTTCGAATTCTATAATTTAGTGATACATGATGATTTTGTTACTGTACTTCGTAATAAAAATAGTTGACCCAACATTTTGGGCTTGATCGACCAACTAATAATCAAGTCATTTAAGTTTGGTTAACTTAATGTCACAAATTAAGTTCCAATTGAAACCCCTTTCATTTTAGTTTTTTTTGGTAGCTAATATCCTATAGATAAAGTTATATTTGTTGTTTCAAACTTTCAACAAAAAAATTGACGGAACCATTTGGTTAATTCAATTTAGATCCGGTTACCATTTGTGTCGTTCAAGATCAGTGCGACAATGAGTTAGATTAAAAGGCCAGGATCACTTTTTATTAGGCTAATGCGGGTTGCTTGTGAGTTAATAACAGGATGATATTGAGTGAACTAATAAGCGAGTCAAGAAAAAGAATACTAGTTCACCGTGGCATAACCAAACATTCTCTAGGAAGTGGTGAGAAGGTAGCAACTTTGGTGAACCAAATCACCAAATACATAACGATTTATAGTCCCAACTTCTAGTCGCGGTTTAAATGCGTATACTACTAGGAGGTGGAATAAATGGAAAACTATACTCCGTTTTAAGGAAAGATTACTTTAATCATTCTTAGTCAGTCATTTCTGTGGTCTATTTGGTGTTCCTCCTAATTCTCACCGTGTTACAAGTTTATACCGGTTTTAGGGGATAACTATTAGTCTATTATGCATGTACTTTATAAGTTTATACCGGTTTTAGGGGATAACTATTAGTCTATTATGCATGTACTTTACAAGTTTATACCGGTTTTAGGGGATAACTATTAGTCTATTATGCATGTACTTTACAGTTCTTGTTTTATGTGACCTCGCTTAGTATTTACTTACTGTAAATGATTATCAATCTCAAATAATCTTGTGTCTCACCAAATACATTGCTCACTTTAATATCGATTTTTCTAATATTTATTAGTACCAAACTGTATGAATATTTATGGTTAAGTAAAAAATATGTCTAATTTATTAGTAAAAAATGCTTTCACATTTACTAGTAATTCTTTTGTCTCTTAAAATCTGTATTACAATTTTTGGGCAGTTACATAACAAGTACGAGGTACCAAACTTCAACAGTTATTCCTCTAATGTACAAATTCCAACTTGAACTCATTAAATCAAGGGTAATTCTCTGTTTCTCATTGTGAGAAACAAGTTTTGTTTCTCGTGGAGTATGTGTCAAGATTGGGGCTCCCTCTTATAACTCATACGCGGTCCCCACCAGTGAAAAACATCACATTATTTTCCAAAATGTCATTATGAGAAACAAAAGTGTTTCTCGTAACGAGGAACTGGGGCTCCCTCTTAAATCAACCATTAGCATTACAAATATAGAGTAACAAAGGAAAAACTTAATTGTCAAACTTGTATACGATCCAATTACAATCCAGTTCATTCATCAAGGAAGAATAACTATGACTTAAAACCAGTATAAACTTGTAACACTGTGAGGATAAGAATTACAACCAAATAAACGACGGAAGTGATTGACCATGGATGATTGAAGTAGTCTTTCCTTAGTATAGCCATCCATCTGTTCATCTGGGCATTAGCATGGGCATTCAATCTTTGACTTATATCATAATAGTAGAAATTACGACGGATTGATATGTACTTAGTGAGACGGTTCACTATAGTTGCCACATCGTCATTACTCCCAACACAATTCTCCATTATTCCATGTTGAACTAGTATTTGCACATCTTCACGAGTGTCAATCAATTCATCAAGGAACAATACATAATCGGCAAAGTAAGAATTGTCATTAGGATAATGGTGGGATTGTTCATAAAATATGATGTTGCGAATAAAACCTTCCATGGAGTCTTCAACAACCAGTCTCGGAATCTTTAATACCCCATTAAAAAATTCAATATCAAGCAGATTCTTACCCTCTCTTACCTCAAATTTAATTCATGTGTTAACATTTCATTGTCTTGGAATTCAGGAGGTAAGTGCCAAACCCTCATAAAATCCACAAGATGTTTAATACCTGATATGTTCTCTACATTCTCTCTACCTAGTTTGGTACGTTCCCTATCGTTTCCAAGAAAAAAAGGGCAGGATATAAAACTACAAGTAAGCTCCTTGAAGGGAATATGAGGGTAAGCTGCACCAAATGCTATGTCATATAGATTGTTGAGAACAAAAAAGGGGAGTTGATTGTCTTCGACAAATAAATCTTGTATCACTTTTCCCATCCAAGTGACCTTTTCAAACATAGGAATCTCTTCAAGGAGAGGAAAATGTCGTTTTTTACGAGGGAGCCCCAATTCCTCATTATGAGAAACACTTTTGTTTCTCATAATGGCATTTTGGAAAATAATGTGATGTTTTTCACTGGTGGGGACCGTGTATGTGTCATAAGTGGGAGTCCCAGATCTTGACACATACCCCGTGAGAAACAAAACTTGTTTCTCACAATGAGAAACAGAGAATTACCCGTTTTTTACGGCACATAAAAGTGTAGCTGATAAATGCAGCATCCACCACCATCATCTCAACAAACTCATTACTAGTGAGACTTATTTTTTCTTCGTAATAGGAACGAGCATCTTCCTCCCATTCTTTCATAATGTCAATGTATTGGCCTAAGCTAAGCCATTTGTATAAGTCGCATATTCTAGGAAGCAGTTGGGGCGACTTAATTTTAACATTGATGAAGATTCAAGGGATGGAGTATTATAGTAGATAGGACCAATCGAAACAATTGAAGGATGATTGCATTCTCTATTTACCTTGCGGATACGTTCAGGCACCTTATAAATGCAGCGATTAATAGATAAGGATTTAGGAAAGAAATTAAGCTTGCATTTTATTGAAAAATCCACTTCCTTGGTTTCAGCTGCCATTCTGTAATATCAAATAATTATTGATGATATATTACATATATCATCATTTATCTTGTCAGTTAAGCTCATTATCGTTCAAATGTAAAGAGCAATTGATTTGATTTACGAATTTAAAACTTATTGTTTGCAATTATAGAATGCTTTTTAACTATAATTAAATAAATGATCTAATTAGCAAGGGGAAAAAAATTCAGCAAAATTTTGTTGTCGTAAATGTTACTACAATGTATATTTAGGTATAGGATAAAAAAAAAAAAATGTAGATTTAGGTGTATTTTCGTTGAAGTTTTAAATTAATAATAATGACCTTTCTTTGTTTATATTGAACATGCTAAAAGTTATACTCCCTCTATTTTATTCTAAATAAATTTGTTTATTTGACCGTCACTAGTTTTAAGAAAATGTGTTGAATGAAGTAAATATGGTGTAAGTGAGGTTTATTAGGAATTAATTTTAAATACTTTCTCCTCTTTGTTCTCTACATCATATTGACTTTTACTTATACTATTCTTTGACCAACTACTGATGTATATAAATAAATGTCATTATTGTAAGAAGAAATTAGTTTTAATAATTCTATCTTTGGCCAATTTTCTTTTAATAATTCAAATTTGATTATTCTTGATGAATAATTCCAATTTTAGGGGGTATTGACCTTATCAGACCTAACCAAACTTGTTACAACAGATCACTTACCACGCGTTAACAACCTATTGGTCAAAATAAAATTTTGGAAAAAAAATCCGAAAACAGGCTAGCTACTAGCCTAATGCCGGCAGCCAACTCCCTTCCAAGCCCCACCCTCGAAATGGCCCCGGTGCCTAGTCCCACCATCGAAAACCGACCCTCGTCTCTAGCCCCACCCTCAAAACCACTGGACCCCAAAACCACTCTTATATTGAATTTTACTTATATTATTCTTTGACCAAGTTATACTACTAATGTATATAAATAAATGTAATTATTGTATTGAAAAATTAGTTTTAATAATCCTACCTTTGGCCAATTTTCTTTTCATAATTTCAACTTTGATTATGCCTGATATATAATCCTAATTTTACGGGGGTATCGACCTTATCAGACCTAACCAAACTTGTTACAATAGGTCACTTAACATGTGTCAACAAAGTATTGGTCCAAAAAAAATTAGAAATAAAATCCAAAAAACAGGCTAGCTACTAGCCTAATGCCGACGGCCAACTCCCAAAGGTGATGGCAGAGAGGAAGGAGGTAGGGGATGCTAAAGGTAGTGGTAGAGAGGAAAGAGGTCAGGGATGCCGGAATCAAGTTTAGATAGAGGAAAGGGAGGAAAAAGAAATATAATTAAAAATAAATAAAATTCAATTATATGCCGGCACGTGGCAATTTTAATATATAAATTCTCATCTAGTCACTATCATCTGGGCTTAATTAAAGTAGATGCTCCTTAAAATTGTATTAATAATGAATAATTTAAATTTGGACTATTAATAGAAATCGGTATATATATTAGTAAAAACTAGATTAGTGCCCGTGCGATGCACGGTAGTAATAATCTTTTTTTCCATTATTAATTTATGATATAATATAAAAATGAAGCAACTCGTATAGAATAAACAAATGCAATGTGTATAAGAAAGATGAAATGATAAGGTAAAAATTATTAAAACTACAATTGAGAAAAAAATATAGTTTTGATTAGTTAGTTGAAAATATTTAAAAATAATATATATTATATTACATTAATGATGCATGTTATTCCCAATAAAACTATATGTCGTATAACTTTTTATTAATGAATTAATTTGATTTAAAAAAAAAAAAAACTATACAATGTACTTCCAAAAAATAAGCTAAGTAGAAAAAAAAAATACACTTAAAGCTGACCCATCATATATTGTGTTGGTGAAAATATTTTTAATGATAGCGACATATGTCCAAAATTATCGATGTAAGCATAACCTGTTTTAGTACTAATTAATAGATTTTTTGAAGGAAAAAAAGTTATAAGTTGGTAAAATTATTACAGAAATATTTAACAAAAAAATAACTTAATTATTATTATTATTTCATAAGATTTCAAATCAAAGCCATGAATAGAAATGTTTTTTTTTTCATCCACTATTGTAGAACTATATAATGGTAATATAAATGTTTCTTTTTTTGACGGGGTAATATAAGTGTTAATATTGTATTTTTGGCTCCGTTATTTTATACTCTCCACCATATATCAACCTTCTAAATTATAGTTTATTCTCCCTTAATTAAAAGATCTCAAAATCTTATTTAACTATTTTAAGTAAATAGAACACGAAATAAAAAAGAATACAATTATTATAAAGATAATATATAAAATTAAATATATATTATTATAATTGTATTATACATATATTCTAAAAACCACTCCGTATTATTTTAATTATTTTGTTATACTTTTTAATTATTTTCTTATAATGATTCAAATTAATCTATTTTATGGGTGATACATAAGACAACTAAGACCACATCAATAATTTACAAACTAGATAGTATCTGAGTCATGCTCGGTTTTTAATAATGGTAATTGAAATTAAATATAGAAGTCTCTTGAAAAATGTAATTCAAAATTCATCATAATAATAAATAATTAAAGTATACAGTTTCTATAAACATTAATAAATCTGCAAAAATCTTAAAAAAAAAGGGATAAAGTGAAGTTTAGGAGGGAAAGTTCCTCGAAAAACTCTAATTAAGTTTAGATATATAGATATAGATAATAATATAGAATCCATATAAATTTTCTGAATAAAACCAATTGTGCAGACGTACCAAACTTTTGCAAATCAAATGTATACTCCACGCCTTGCAAGGTTGCCCAAACAAAGTAAAACTAAAAAATAATACCAAATTTTAGGGAATTAAAGGATATTAGAACAAAATTTTGATATGATGTACGAAGTAGTTCTTAGCCTTGAATTAATTTTCTTTTTATAAAATTTTGTGTCTTCAACCTAACATTATTCACCACAGTTAAAAGAAATATTCTTTAACAAAGCAAATACGAATACTGTAAAGTAAATGTACCAATTTTAAAGAATAAAATCACATTATTTTCCACCATAAGAGGATTTATATATACTTTTCAAGTACATTCAAGTAATCTATATTCTCTCCTAAAATGTAATAGTATGGTTAAATAACACAAATGAAATCATAAATTAAAGTTGGACTTTTCTCATTATTCAAACAAATTTTGTTGACCTTTTGTGCTTTAAATGTTGGCAGTGTCCTAATCAATGCGTCAGATATTGTAAGATTCGTCTAGATTTATAGTTTCAAAATAAAATAATACGAAAATAAGGTAACTAAGGCCCGAGTCCATAAGGGTTAATCTGGTGGGAACACCAAAAAATAATACGAAGATAAGGTGTATCATATTCTTATATTCTTACAAGATAATGCATAATGGGTATTGTTAGATTGTGACTCGAAATCTAGTAGGGCTGACTTTGAATGCAGATATCTCTCAAACTACATGTGATTTTGAGGTGATTCAAGTTGGAAGTGATATCTTGTTTTAATAGCTTTTCAACGATAGGTCATATGCCCAATTCCGATAAGAAACGAGAAAGTTATGACCGTTTTACGAAGACTTGACGAAGCTGGAACATTACTGACGAAATACTCGACTTGGCACACCCGTGCCAAAAGAGGGGCATTTTTTGTCCGGTTTTGAATGTAATTGTTTTATGGAAATTTTTCCTAAAACTATATATATATCTCCTATGATGGCTACTTGAGTATACTTGGGGAACAATTTAGGGTTTTATTAGGGTTTTCTTGTGTTATAATAAAAGGATCCTTTAGTTGACTAATTAGATCATACCTTTTGAGCCATTAGATTTAGGACTTTTTGTATTATTCTCTCGTTCTTTCTCTGTAACACCCCCGATTTACTAGCTAATAATAAATAATAAATAAAGGAAAAATAAACAACCTTTGAATAAAAACTGCAGAAGCATACACCTAAATCGGAGGTATTACCGCCACACTCAACAATTTGTCAAGTGCTAAGGCTTACAAAATCTATAATTACAACTCAATAATCTAAGTGAGCTATTTATACAACTTTACAAACTTGTTATAACAGACTAATCGAAACACTTGATTTCCTTTAGCTACGATCACTTGATCAACCTATTTAGACAAACTTGACTGCTCACCATTAAGGACAAATTCCAAAATAGATCGTCGCAGGGCCACCATAAGAAAAAGACATGGCCGCAAACACAAAGTAGCACAACAAAACAACACACACGTCAGCAAAAAGCTGAGTAATCATCACATATCAGAATACAAATAATAATAAAATAATTAACATTACTAGCTCAATTAAACAATGCAGTTCAAAACTACATTACACATTGTACTCTTAAAATAACCTTTGTCAAATCCAACCTCGAATAAAAATACGATCATTTACTCAATTAACTCGT